ACCAAAGCATCGCTCTTTTCCCGTCACCGCCTCCCACCATGCCGCGGTTTAATCGCCGTGAGCAGCTTCCGCTGCACATCAAGCGCGCATTATGCGCGCATCACGTCGAGCACCCTCGCCTGCGTCACGTAGATCTCGCCCGCTGGGTTTACGCCCAGTATGGCCTGCGACCTGACCGCTCGACGGTCGGCCGCATCTTGAAGAATGCCGACCGTTGGGCGCTCACCGAACCCACTGCCGCTAATCAAGTGCGCCGTCGAGGTGGCGCATGGCCTGAGCTTGAGCAGGCCATGGCGCGCTGGATCGCCAACGCTGGCCCCGCGGGCGTACCACTTGTCAAACATTATATATGTTGGGTTTGTTAGGCTATAGTGGGTTAGCCTATATGGGGTACACAATTCTAGGGTTTGCTATTTGTACTGATTTCTCTGTTAGTTCAATCATTCCAGTCTCTTCTTTTTGACATGGTTTCAGAGCAGGTCCTTCGCTAGGACCGTTCTTAGGGCCCACCACTGAATACCTACCTACCTATCTACTGTCGGAGTGCTGCGTTAGCGCCTCCCCCTCTCAGCGCCCTAGTGCGCCCTCGTGTACGGCCCCTTAAGGCTTCGTTGACCCCGCGCGCCGCCCCTTAGTGACCCGCGCGTCGCTCCTTAGAGGCCCCGTCGACCCGCGCGCGCCCCGCTTAAGGCCCCGTTTGGCCCCGTCGACCCGCCCGCGGCCCGCTTAGTGGCCCCGTTTAGCCCCGTCGACCCGCGCGCGCCCCGCTTACGGCCCCGTTTGGCCCCGTCGACCCGCCCGCGGCCCGCTTAGTGGCCCCGTTTGGCCCCGTCGACCCGCCCGCACCCCGCTTAGAGGCCCCGTTTGGCCCCGTCGACCCGCACGCGCCCCGCTTACGGCCCCGTTTGGCCCCGTCGACCCCGCGCGCGCCCCGCTTAGTGGCCCCGTTTGGCCCCGTCGACCCGCGCGCGCCCCGCTTACGGCCCCGTTTGGCCCCGTCGACCCGCACGCGCCCCGCTTACGGCCCCGCTTGACCCGTCGACCCCGCGCGCGCCCCGCTTAGAGGCCCCGTCGACCCTATCCGCCGCCCCAAAGCGGCTCCGTCGACCCTACCCGCCGCCCCTACCCGCACCGCACGCGACAGCCGCGGCCCCGCCAGCAACAGGCCGCCCGAACCGAGCCGCCCAGTCCGAGCCGAGCCGAGCAGCCAGAACCGAGCCGCGCCGCCCGCACTGAGCAACTTCTCTGGACCGAGCCGCCCTACCTCCGTCGCGCTGCCCACTGCGTTTAGGACTCACTTACTGCTACTGCTACGGCTACTCCTACTGCTACTATGGCTACCCCGCCTGTACTAGCTTTCGATGCTGAGGGCCGCCCAGTGAAGTTTGATACTTGGCTTGATGACCTGCACCTCTTCCTACAGCTCACTGCCAAGGAGGATATCTCACTGTATGACCACGCCCTCGGCCATGCTCCTGCCCCTGCTACTGATGCTGACAGCACTACCCGCTCACAGTGGCAGACTCGTGACGCCCACGCTCGCTTTGCCATCCGCAACTCCCTGCCGTTAGATGAGCGCGAGCACTTTGGCCAGTGCAAGACTGCTAGGGACCTCTACACCGCTGTAGTTGCCCGTTACTCCTCACCCGCTTCTGCTACGCTAGGCCGCCTCACTCTTCCCTACCTGTTCCCCGACCTAGCCTCCTTTCACACTGTCGCAGACCTCATCACCCACCTTAAGACTAGTGAGGCCCGCTTTCGCGCTGCTATGCCTGCCGAGTTTCTCACTAGCAACCCCCCCCCGCTCTGGATCACTCTCTACCACATCGTCACCCGCCTCCCTGACTCTCTGCGCGCAGTCAGGGACCACTTCCTCTCTCGCTCCCCCACTGAGCTCACTGTTGCCCTCCTCGAGAAGGAACTGCTTGCAGCTGAGGCGAGCATCGTCGCTGTAGGCACCTCTCGTGATGACCCCCGCACCCCGTTCTTCGAGGGGTGTTCCCCTTCCCCCCTCCTCCCCTCTGTCGCCTCTGCTGCTGCTGTCGACCTCCTTGGTGCTGAGAAGGTCGGGACCGCGTCTGCTTCGAGCGGGCGCCGCAGGGGCAAAGGGGGCAGGGGCGGGGGTGGCGGCGGAGGAGGTGGGGGTGGAGGCGGTGGGAGTGGAGGCGCGGCTGAGGAGGCTAGTGGCGGTAGTGGGGGAGGCGACAGCAGCGGCGGGAGTGGTGGCAGGGGCGGAGGCGACAGCGGAGGCGGAGGTGGTCGTGGTGGCGGCAGGGGTGGAGGTGGCCGGGGCGGAGGCGGAGGGGGTGGTGGTCGTGGGGGCACTGGCGGAGGGCAGAGTCAGCAGTCCGCCCCGACGCTTCAGGCCGCCCGTGAGTGGTATGCGCAGCGTAGCGTTACCTGCACGTACGTCATTCGCACAGGTGACCGCCGCGGCCAGCAGTGTGGGAGGCCGCACCCCACGCAGCGCTGCTTCGCCCGCCTTACCGACGCGTGGCGCACCCAGTTTCCTACTGCCGCTGAGCTGCCGCGCTGGCCTGAGCTGGAAAAGAGGGGCGTTGATATTTGGGCTTTAGACTTTGATGCTATTCTCACTGCCATGTATGCGATGTCTATTAGTGGAGAGGGTGCTCAGTACTTGCGTGTTCCGCCTGACCCGGGTATTCAGGCCAGTCCAGCTGCCGCTCTAGGTGCTAGTGCGTCCGCTCCCGCAGGTCCTGGTGAGGCTGCTGCCCTAGGTGCTAGTGCGTCTGTGCCCCCTGGTACTGAGTCGACTGCAGCACTGCACACCTTCACACTGGACTCAGGTGCTTCTCGCTCTTTCTTTCGTGACCGCACTGTCCTTGAGCCCCTCGCTCGGCCAGTTGCTGTCTCCCTTGCTGACCCCTCTGGGGGTCCGGTCATTGCGACCTCCTCCACTGTCCTTCCTTGTCCGGCCGTCCCGTCCGGCACGCTGTCAGGTCTCTACCTCCCCTCGTTCTCTACGAACTTGGTGGCAGGTAGTGCGCTCCAGGACGGCGGTGTTCACCAGTTCACCCCTGCCTACGAGCGCGTGACACACTGCACGTGTGCTCGGACGGGTCGCCACCTGGCTACCTTCACTCGAGAGCCGGGGTCGGACCTTTACACACTGACCACTGTGTCCCCTCAGGTAGCTGCGTCTGCGTCTGCGTCTGCGTCAGGTCAGCTGTCCGCCCCCTGCTCGTGTCGCTCTCTGGCACATGAGACTGTCCTTTGGCACCACCGCCTTGGTCACCCGTCTGTGCAGCGCCTTCGGGCCATGCACCAGCGGGACCTTGTTGCTGGTCTTCCCAGGGTGCTCCCTCCCCTTCCCGACTCGCCTGCTCCTCCCTGTATTCCCTGTGTCGAGGGACGGCAGCGCGCCGCTCCTCACTCCTCCTCCTTTCCCCCGACGACTGCCCCCTTGCAGACGCTCCACATGGACGTGTGGGGCCCAGCCCGCGTCCGTGGTCAGGGTCAGGAGAGGTACTTCCTGATTGTTGTTGACGACTTCTCGCGCTACACCACGGTCTTCCCCTTGCGCGCCAAGGGTGACGTCCCTGAGGTCTTGATCCCTTGGATCCGCAGATCTCGTCTCCAGCTCCGTGAGCGTTTCCGCTCCGACTTCCCTGTCCTACGTCTGCACTCTGACAGAGGTGGGGAGTTCTCCTCTGGCCTATTGGAGGCCTTCTGTCAGCAGGAGGGCATTGAGCAGTCGTACACGCTTCCGGACTCTCCACAGCAGAATGGGGTTGCTGAGCGCCGCATTGGTCTGGTCATGGAGGTCGCTCGTACCTCCTTGAGCCATGCGGCTGCCCCCCATTTTCTGTGGCCGTTTGCAGTCCGATACGCTGCGCATCAGCTCAACCTCTGGCCCCGTGTCTCCTTGCCCGAGACTTCTCCGACACTGCGTTGGACGGGAGAGGCTGGCGATGCGTCGCGTTTTCGGGTCTGGGGATCCCGAGCTTTTGTCCGCGACACGTCCGCGGACAAGCTCTCCCGTCGCGCTGTCCCCTGCGTCTTCCTTGGCTTTGTCCCGGACGCCCCTGGTTGGCAGTTCTACCACCCCAGTCTCTTCTTTTGACACCACTCACTCTGCAGACGATCCGCGACCACGTGGCGACCATGGCGCGCAACATGGGCATTCCGCCCGTGTTCCGTTGCTCCATTGGCTGGGTGCGCCGTGCGTTGCGGCGCCAGGGAGTGCGATGCCGTGCCGCCACCGGCGAGGCGGCGAGCGCCGACATGGCTGCTGTCAAGCGGGCAAGCCCCGCGCTCAATCTCAACACGGCCCCGCCGCCCAGGCTTTCGCCTTTCGCAACTCCGCCGCCTGACACCCCGCGTCCGCGGGGCCGAGTGCTGCCTGGCTGGATGACCCAGCCGTCCCGCCGTCAGCAGCTTCTGGACGGCGGGGTTGGCGCCGCGATGGGCGGGTACGTGGAGGCGGCAGAATGGATGCAGGTGTGAGTTGGAATGTTGGACTCACGAGCAGGAGTTGAAGGTTGGGATCGGGGAGTTTCTGAGGATTTGATAAGTGTTGGGATTGTGCACATAACGGTCACATTTGCAGTAGAGGGGATGTTGTGGAGCTCGGGGGTGAATGGCCATGTGGTAGATTGTGATTGGCCCGGCTTTGTGTGTCAGCTGTTTCAATCTAAGTTGAACAAATGTTGATGTTGCTTTACGCGTTTGTTCTGCTTTCGTAAGGATTTCGGTAACGCGCACATGTGACAATAGGTGCCACCCGACACTATTACATAACGGACAAAGTGAGTGGTAACCATGTGCGCGTTAAATGCATGCGCAAAGCCTGACGAAACCCTCGACGAACAGACGAAATGACGTTTTAGCTTACAGTCCCCCTTCACAAGGCAACCGGGAGGGGCTCTAACGAGCATTAGCTGTATAAAGAGACTAGCGGCAAAGCAATCAACCATTCAATCACTTCGTTCGCCTCACTCACACTCCCAGTTTTTCAGAAGTGCAAGTCTTTTGCGACGATGGCATTCCCCAACGGCCAATTCGCCCTGCTTGTGCTGGTTGGCCTTGTGCATATCGCCTCGGCAACAAACATGCCCGCCGCTGGTTGCCACACCCGCTATGTGTGCCCCTACATTGACAACCTCGCTACTGCGACAATCACCCAGTCCACGTTCACCAGTTACAAAAACATTGGCGAATACTTTGGACAGTTCAACAGACAGGGCGGGAAATACACACCACATCAGCGCGGGTCCGGCTCCGTGAATTTCGAGCGGTACACGGAGGTGGGGACCGTTTTCGACATCGTGAAGGGTGTGTATGGCGATACACTTCAGGAGTGCTGCCGCGCGTGCGCTCGATCCACCTACTGCTACCAGTGGCACTGGTTCAAGAAGTGAGCACCATCTCCTAGATTAGTAGTCCTGAGGTTAGGTTACGTATGAATTAAGGCCAATTCCTTTCAGCGAAGTAGCGTTTTTCCGTTTTCACCTTGCTGAAATATCCGAAGCTGACTAAATTCGTTTCTTTTGCTGCCTTCGTTTCCCCATTTTTCACCGCTCTCCACAGCACTCGTCTGGCTGGCGAGAACGTGAACGTGAAGGGCTTCATCGACCGCGTGCAGTGCTACCTGCTGGAGAAGAATGGCGGCACGGGCACGTCAGGGTCCTTCAAGACGCCATACGCGGGGAGCACCGCGGAGCAGACGGCAAACGCGGCCAAATACCCGCTGAGCTTCGTCGGCGGGCTCTGCAACGGCACGGCGCTCGTCGAAAACGACCCGCATCTCACGGGCGCTCACGGAACGCACTACGACTTCACCGGCCGGCTCAATAAGTCCTTCTGCCTCTTTTCCGACTGTCGGTTCCACGTCAATGCTGCTCGACGGGTACCAGGGCACGCCGCCCGCGCTTCCCGCGTCGGCGTCGGCGAATAAGGACAAGGAGACGAGCACGGAGCTGCACACGTGGATTAAGGAGCTCGGCGTGGTGTGGATGACGCCCGACGGCGCGAACCACACGCTGCGCATGGTTGCGCGCAAGGGCAAGCAGCAGGAGCGCGGCAGCGACGGCTTCGTGTCGCTCATTGAGATCGACGGCCAGCCCACGGCGCCTCCCACCGTTGGCGAGTCGATCGCGACGGAAAGCGGGTTGGAAGTAACTAAAATCGCGGAGGCGGCGAAAGAGGGGCCGTTCGACGTGGATCGGTTCCAGGTGCGCGTGGCGGGGCTGGGGGAGCTCGACGTGCGCGTGCGCGTGGCGCACCCGCTGCTGCAGACGCCGGCGGAGGCGGAGGCGCACTTCAACGTGGAGCTGTCGGACGTGAAGATGACGTCAGCCGTGCACGGCGTGCTGGGGCAGACGTTTAGGAACACGGCGGAGCAGCTGAAGCGCGCCGTGAAGTACTCGATGCTGGCGGCGCTGCTGCACCGCCCCGTGGACTTGGACAAGGCGGACGGGCAGGGCTTCCTGGACGGGCAGGTCGAGGATTACATTTCGTCGTCTGTCGTCGCGCCCGACTGCAAATACGCGAGCTACGCCGCCGCTGCTGCCTAAGAGGACCGCGTCCTAGTGGCACAACGTACGGCTTTGGACTCTTGAGACTGTTGGTAGGTAGATTTGTGGAGAGGGTGGAATCAACTTCTTGCAACCCTAAACCAGTGGAGTGGTAGATTTGTTGGTAGGGTGGAAGTTCTTACAACTTCGAAACTGGTTGTTGGGTGGCTGGGGGCTGCAGGATGCGAGGTTAGGTTCGGATGGACCGGTTTGTTTTGGATGGAAGGGGGGGATTAGTCGGCCCCGTTTCAGTCCGTGCCCCTAGCGGATGGCCTTTCCTGTAAGGCAAATAAAGGTGGGCGGGTGGCCGCACTGTAGACAATTGTTCTCAAATATGGGTGCATTTGTTTGTTTTTATTTCGCTTGACCACCCTGAGTTTAGTGCTCTGACATATATCAGATCACTTTCTGATCACTTTCGCTAAAAAGAATCTGGCCAGTTTAGCGAATCACAAGGGCAAGGGTATCTTGTTCACATTTTTGAGGCATCATTTGCAGCTTCCCCTCTTAGCAGTTCCCCCCTTAGCAGTTCCCTCCTTAGCAGTTCTTCCCTTGTGGTCCCCCCATTGCAGTCCCCCCATTGCGGTGCTTCCATTGCAACCCCTCCTTGCAGAACCCCGCACATCCCTCCTGAGTCCCAACCCTCGTCTGTTGACTGATTGATTCATGCCTCGCCCCTTTCAGCATCTCACAGGGTCCTCCCTCAAGTGATTCTTGGATAGACTCAAAAGTCACATCCATCCATCATGACCCTCATCTACCGAGCCAATCGCCTCACCTTGCTCCTCCCAAAATCTCACAAAATCCACTGTTATCCGCTTGCAATATGAGAGGTGCTGACCCACCTCCAGCTACTTTGCAGACGCCTCAAAAGCTGTTTCTTCAAGCACCTCAGAAGGGTTCCCTCTGATCCGCCTGTAGTATAGAATATTTTGACCTGCCTCCAGCATATCAGCATTTATAAGGGAGAATGAGTCTACTCACAGGCTCCTCTCTGATATTGCACGCGTTTTCTTCAAAATTCTCACTCACTGCTGAGGGGCTCCTGCCTTATCTGCCTCCCCCTTGTGCTTGCTCCTGCCTCCTCTCCTACCTCCATTCATGTCCCCCATCCTCTTGTGGCCTACCCTCAGAAAATGCTTGAGGGCTCCCTTCCCATCTGCTTCACTTCTCACTTTTCATTTCCCCTCTCTCTTGTTCGATCCCCCCTCTCTTTTCACTTCCCCACTCTCCTTACCGCCTCCTCCCTCTTTTCCGCATACCTTTTCCGCATACCTTTTCCGCATACCTTTTCCGCATACCTTTTCCGCATACCTTTTCCGCATACCTTTTCCGCATACCTTTTCCGCATACCTTTTCCGCATACCTTTTCCGCATACCTTTTCCGCATACCTTTTCCGCATACCTTTTCCGCATACCTTTTCCGCATACCTTTTCCGCATACCTTTTCCGCATACCTTTTCCGCATACCTTTTCCGCATACCTTTTCCACTCCCCCCTCTCTTTCTGCTCCCCCTCTCTCTCCTTCTCTCCCCCCTCACACGCTTCTTCCCTGTTTTTGCTTTCCCCTTTTTTTTTTTCCGCTTTCCCCCTCTTTTCGCATCCCCCCTCTCCTTTTCCACACCCCCCCTCTCTTTTCCGCCCCCCCCCTCTCTCCTTTCCGCATCCCCCTGTCTGCTTGCTTCTGCTCCTCTCCTGCATCCACCTTTCCTAGTTCCCCCTCCCCCCTAACTCCAAAGCCTCCTCAGAAGCAAGAAAGGGATTTGGAGAGGGAGGGAGGGGGAGGGAGGGGTAGGAGGAGGAGGAGGAGGAGGAGGAGGAGGAGGAGGAGGAGGAGGAGGATGAGGAGGAGGAGGAGGAGGGGGAGGAGGAGGAGGAGGAGGGGGAGGAGGGAGAGTGAGAGCAGTGGTAGTGGAAGAAGAGGTGGGGGCAGCGAGAATCAGTACATTTGTAGCAGCAGTTGTAGCAGCAGCCGGAGCAGACATGGGAAATGAGAAGGAAAGGTGGGAAGAATGAGAAATGAGAAGGAGGTGGGAAGAATGAGATATGAGAAGGAAGGTGGAAGACTGAGATTGAGAAGCAAGGTGGGAAGACTGAGATATGAGAAGGAAGGTGGGAAGACTGGGATATGCGAAGGAAGGTGGGAAGAATGAGATATGAGAAGGAAGGTGGGAAGACTGAGATATGAGAAGCAAGGTGGGAAGACTGAGATATGAGAAGGAAGGTGGGAAGACTGAGATATGAGAAGGAAGGTGGGAAGACTGAGATATGAGAAGCAAGGTGGGAAGACTGAGATATGAGAAGGAAGGTGGGAAGACTGGGATATGCGAAGGAAGGTGGGAAGAATGAGATATGAGAAGGAAGGTGGGAAGACTGAGATATGAGAAGCAAGGTGGGAAGACTGAGATATGAGAAGCAAGGTGGGAAGACTGAGATATGAGAAGGAAGGTGGGAAGAATGAGATATGAGAAGCAAGGTGGGAAGACTGAGATATGAGAAGCAAGGTGGGAAGACTGAGATATGAGAAGGAAGGTGGGAAGACTGAGATATGAGAAGCAAGGTGGGAAGACTGAGATATGAGAAGGAAGGTGGGAAGACAGGGATATGCGAAGGAAGGTGGGAAGAATGAGATATGAGAAGGAAGGTGGGAAGACTGAGATATGAGAAGCAAGGTGGGAAGACTGAGATATGAGAAGGAAGGTGGGAAGACTGAGATATGAGAAGCAAGGTGGGAAGACTGAGATATGAGAAGGAAGGTGGGAAGACTGGGATATGCGAAGGAAGGTGGGAAGAATGAGATATGAGAAGGAAGGTGGGAAGACTGAGATATGAGAAGCAAGGTGGGAAGACTGAGATATGAGAAGCAAGGTGGGAAGACTGAGATATGAGAAGGAAGGTGGGAAGAATGAGATATGAGAAGCAAGGTGGGAAGACTGAGATATGAGAAGCAAGGTGGGAAGACTGAGATATGAGAAGGAAGGTGGGAAGACTGAGATATGAGAAGCAAGGTGGGAAGACTGAGATATGAGAAGGAAGGTGGGAAGACTGGGATATGCGAAGGAAGGTGGGAAGAATGAGATATGAGAAGGAAGGTGGGAAGACTGAGATATGAGAAGCAAGGTGGGAAGACTGAGATATGAGAAGGAAGGTGGGAAGACTGAGATATGAGAAGGAAGGTGGGAAGACTGAGATATGAGAAGCAAGGTGGGAAGACTGAGATATGAGAAGGAAGGTGGGAAGACTGGGATATGCGAAGGAAGGTGGGAAGAATGAGATATGAGAAGGAAGGTGGGAAGACTGAGATATGAGAAGCAAGGTGGGAAGACTGAGATATGAGAAGCAAGGTGGGAAGACTGAGATATGAGAAGGAAGGTGGGAAGAATGAGATATGAGAAGCAAGGTGGGAAGACTGAGATATGAGAAGGAAGGTGGGAAGAATGAGATATGAGAAGCAAGGTGGGAAGACTGAGATATGAGAAGGAAGGTGGGAAGAATGAGATATGAGAAGCAAGGTGGAAGACTGAGATATGAGAAGGAAGGTGGGAAGAATGAGATATGAGAAGGAAGGTGGGAAGAATGAGATATGAGAAGGAAGGTGGGAAGAATGAGATATGAGAAGCAAGGTAAGAAGTATGATGTATGAGAAGCAAGTTGATAAGATCGAGTGGTGAGAAGGATTGGAGGTTAGGGAGGGTTCCCCTAAACGCACCGATTTCCCCTCAATTCCACAACCCTTTGCCCCCATGCAATTTCCATCCCCCAAAAAGCCACTCCGCTTTCCCACACGAACACTCCCATTCCCCCATTATTCCACTCCCCTTCTCTCACAGGAACACACCCCTTCCCCTAATGTTGCACTCCTCATTCCCCACTGTTCCACTGCCCTCCCTCCACTATTCCACTGCCCTCCCCCCACTGTTCCACTGCCCTCCCCCCACTGTTCCACTCCCTTCCCCCTCAAATCTGATCACCTTCCCCCTCATATCTGGTCCCCTCCCCCCTCATATCTGGTCCCTTCCCCCTCATATCTGGTCCCCTCCCCCCTCATATCTGGTCCCCTCCCCCCTCATATCTGGTCCCCTCTCCCCTCATATGTGGTCCCCTCCCCCCTCATATCTGGTCCCCTCCCCCCTCATATCTGGTCCCCTCCCCCCTCATATGTGGTCCCCTCCCCCCTCATATCTGGTCCCCTCCCCCCTCATATCTGGTCCCCTCCCCCTCATATCTGGTCCCCCCCCTCCCCCCTCATATGTGGTCCCCTCCCCCCTCATATCTGGTCCCTCCCCCCTCATATCTGGTCCCCTCCCCCCTCATATCTGGTCCCCTCCCCCTCATATCTGGTCCCCTCCCCCCTCATATCTGGTCCCCCTCCCCCTCATATCTGGTCCCCTCCCCCCTCATATCTGGTCCCCTCCCCCTCATATCTGGTCCCCTCCCCCCTCATATCTGGTCCCCTCCCCCCTCATATCTGGTCCCCTCCCCCCTCATATGTGGTCCCCTCCCCCCTCAAATCTGATCACCTTCCCCCTCATATCTGGTCCCCTCCCCCCTCATATCTGGTCCCTTCCCCCTCATATCTGGTCCCCTCCCCCCTCATATCTGGTCCCCTCCCCCCTCATATCTGGTCCCCTCCCCCTCATATCTGGTCCCCTCCCCCCTCATATCTGGTCCCCTCCCCCCTCATATGTGGTCCCCTCCCCCCTCATATGTGGTCCCCTCCCCCCTCATATCTGGTCCCCTCCCCCCTCATATGTGGTCCCCTCCCCCCTCATATCTGGTCCCCTCCCCCCTCATATCTGGTCCCCTTCCCCCTCATATCTGGTCCCCTCCCCCTCATATGTGGTCCCCTCCCCCTCATATCTGGTCCCCTCCCCCCTATCTGGTTGCACTCCCGTTCCTCTGCTCACCTTCACCCCCTCTTGCACTTTCCCCACAATTCCATTCCCTCTTGCACTTCAACCACAATTTTACTCCCCTTCCCCCACAATTCCATTCCCCTTCCCCCACAATTCCGCTCTCCTTTCCGCTTCTCCAAACGTATCTCAGCCTGTCGCCCTCGGTGCCACCGTCCTTGACCCCTAAATCTCCCTCTGTACTATTCCATTCCCCAATCTCCACTTTACCATTCCTTTCCCTGTCGTCATGCTCCATTCCCTTCCCACCACTGCTCCCCCAATTACAGTCCAAATCACCCACAACCCATTTCTCACAGTTCCCCCTCGCTTTCCCTGCTTCCTCATCCAGGTGCCATACTATGCATTGTTGTCTCACCGTGCATTAGAGCTTTGGACAGCGCACGCCTCAAGGGCTCACTTCATGCCGACATCTCCACGCCTCAAGGGCTCACTTCATGCCGACATCTGCACGCCTCAAGGGCTCACTTCATGCCGACATCTCCACGCTCACGCCTCTCACCTGCATGTGCCTTGCGTCTGCTTCCTTCGAATGTTGCTCTATCGGCTTCAGAATGCCAGTGCACCCTGTTTCTGTATCTGCCACTCTTTCTATTATCTCGGCGGATCAGAATGGTCTTTCTCTTGCCAGTCCCAAGTTCATACAGGACAGCTGTCTCGTGGAGCCGTAATGCATTTTTGAAGCGTTTCAAACATGCGGGTGTCATACTGCTGCTGCATTGCATGTGGTCAACGGTCGACAGCTATGGCCTCACTTCCGAGACTTCATCCTCTGCTCGCCCCTAACAGGTGGCTGTCAAGCAAACTACTCAGCTACCCCATCGGTTCATTCGCCACCACCCCTTCGATCCTAGCCAGTGCGGGCCGGCTTATGAGTGGCAGAGGCATGGCAGAGTGTGGCGAGGCAGGGCAGAGTGAGGGCAGGCAGGGCAGAGTAGGCAGGGCGGAGGTATTGAGAAGATGGTACTGTTCTGTTGCCTCAGCTTAGCTCCAGCACCCGTTTCTTTCTCAGATTTCCAACCCCTGTTTGTGCTCGTGCCTGCTGTCCACCAGTGTGGTGTGGGGAGGGGGAGGGAGGAGGGAGGGTGGGGGGGTGGTGGGCGCGCGCGCGTGGTTTTATCTTTGTTTTTATTATTTTTCTCCTCAATTGTCGTCACGCGGCAGATGCGAGCGAGCCTGTTGTAGGTTCGTTGGGATGACATCAGGTCACTTCTCATCCTCTTATGGCTGCATGCTGCTGCGAACCGTTACCCTTCCTCCCTCACCCTTCCTCTCATCATGTCTGCGCACATCATTCCCCCGCTCACTGCTCTCTCCCTTGCCCAGTTGCGCTGTCAGACCTCATGTCATGGCACCATGCCTGCGCTCGCCACCGGTCTTATTAGGTTGGATTGGACCTGCCAACGGCCTCCTACACCGGGTGTGACGGCACCTCTAACTGCCTCGTTGCGCCCACCAAGTGAACCACCATCAGCACGGTTGAAAGAGGTGTGGCAGAGTGTGTCTACTGTGGCACCAATGGTGTGCTGCTGCTATGCTGGGAGGCAGGAGGAGTGTGCACGGTGAACGCATCCGCACCCGTCACTGCCGGCACTTTGAGCTACTCAACCCATCCTGTGCTGCAACAGGACCTGCGTGGGTGGAACGGCTGTGCCTGTGAAGGAAGACGCAGGTATATAAGGGGCACAGGACACCGGTTGCCTAGCTTTTGAGACGCCTCAAAAGTCGTCTCAGTTCTCGTGCGTTTTATGTGGAGAGAAAATTGCTTGGAAGTGTTCTCGTCGTAACCTGCAAAGGTTACTTGTGCGTGCGTGGTTACTGAACCGATAAGATCGGTTGAAGACTCTTCGCGAAGGTACAGCACCCTGGGTTTACCCCTTGCTTAGTTGGCGATTGCGTATGATTTGTAAACTGGGTAGTTGGTGTAAAATACTGAAGTTAGCTAGCTGCCGTCCAAAGCCTTTCTTTCTGTGTAAATCAGTTTGTCGAAGTGTCTGGGAGCAATACTTGGAGCCCTGAGCCGCTCTGAATCTTGCCCGGCGCAGGCCAAAACCAGAACTTGAAATCCAGGCTTTAGAAGAGAGTGTGCTTGAGGTTACGAGAGAAAAAAAAGGTTGCTTCGCAACCCAAAAAGTTCAGGTGTTAGCCTAATAGGATCGAGTCAACACTAGTCAGCTAAGGGAATAAGCCTCTGTTCTCCATTACTTACATACACTACACATGTCACTCTCGTGCATTCTATGAGGGGGTCAGGGCGGGGGCAGGGGGTGGGGGACCTTCGAATCCAAGTCAGTACCGGTACTATACATGCAGAAGCGTCACCACCATCTGTTCACCTGCATGATTAGTGCTGAAAAAAATATAGGCATCTGCTTCTATTCTCCTTTCCACTATACAGCACGAATGAAGGACTGCAAGGTGGATTGGGCAGTGATGTGGTAGGGCCCGTGAGATCATATGGTGCTCAAATCACCACTCCTGTAGAGCGCAAAGAAGGAGAGCAGCGGGGCAGCCCTGGCATCGTGAATGACGAGCCTCACATGCTGCGCTCTCACCGCTTCCAACCGAAACAGCCTCTTGCGCCCCACCGTGCTGCCCCTCGCCACCCACCCTCCACTCGCCCCCGCCTCCCCGCACTCCCCGTCCTCTCCAGCATGCTGCGTGCTGCCGCTTGCGGGCCATGCGATGTGTGGAGCGCAGGCTCACCCAGGCTCGGCACACCAGGCAGGGACGGCAGCACACCATCCTCGGTATTGCACCCGCCTGGCCCACACCCGCCAGCACCGGCACCACCAACTTGGGCCACAGGGGCAGCTGGAGCGGCGGCGGGCAGCAGCAGGGTCTGGGTCGATCACCTCTACAGTGAACGATTTTATTCTCTGCCCATACGCCACAGGCTCCTCCAGCCGAACCACATGGAAAGTTTTTCCCTGCCCGAGGTCGAACTCAAGAGTAGCAGACAGCACCCCATCCTGAGCCGCCCAGAAGGTTGCATCTCCAGCACTCAGCACGTTCTCAGGCCCGTAATCACACCGCCCTCTCCCTCGCACCCAACCCCCCCACCATCCCCATAACCCCATCCCAAACCATTCCCTTCGTAAACCCCTCTCCTCTCTTCCTTCTGCCTCCACCCCCCCCCTCGCAGCCATACACGCTGCTGGCGAGCACGCGAGCACCGGCGCTGACGTCCTCCTGGAACAGCACTTGCAGCGCGGGGCCAAACTGTCCCACGCGCTGCACGTCCTCCCCATGCAGCAGCCCCGTGGTGTTGGGCGGCACGTTCAGCAGCAGCGCACACCCGCGCCCCACCGAGGCGAAATAGAGGTCCAGCAGGCGGGCGAGCGGCTTGGGGCGCTCTGAGGGGTGCCAGAACCACCCCGGGCGGATGGACACGTCACACTCCGCTGGCATCCAATCCGTGCCCGCCACGTCACCGTGGTTCAGGTAGCTGCAGGTGGCGGATGGGTTATGGGTGGTTAAGGAGGGTGGGATGTGGGGCTGTGGGTTGGGATGGCATGTATGGCTCAACGGATGCATGGAAAGCCACGGTGGTGCACATGGGGTGCACATGGGGTGCACATGGGGTGCACATGGGGGTGCATGGATGAGTGGCTGTGGAACCAACAAACAGGGCAACGCCGCTTCACCATGCACCACCCCCCAATCACCCCAAATGCCACCCGAGTCACCCTGTGAGCACGCACTGGGTGTCCCACCCCTCCAGCGTGAGCTGGCTGCCGTTCACCATCCCCCAGCACGCCTCGCCCGCCTCGCCGCGCTCGTTGCCCGCCCACCGCAAGTCGGGGCCCTGCGCTGAAAACACCGCTGCTGCCGGCTGCAGCTGCCGAATGAGAGCCTGCCACGTGGCAGTGTGGTAGGTCATGGGGCGGCGGTCCCCCTTGGCGCCGTCCAGCCACACCTCCGCCACGGGCCCGTAGCTGTGGGTGGTAGGGCGCAGACAGGAGGGGCAGGGGAGGGAGGGCAAGGGAAGAGCGGCGCAGGTGGCTTGGGCGCGTCCAGCCAGCCACAGCTCCGCCACGGGCCCGTAGCTGCAGTGCGGGCGGGCAGCAGGGCGAGGCGGGAGGGGCAGGGGAGGGTGGCGCAGGTGGGTGGAGGTAGGCTAGGGCATGGCTTGGGGCCGAGCTGCTCCTCCTCTGCGCGTGCTGCATCGCACCTGCACCACGGGAGATAGTGGAGCGGCGCTGGTTGTGGGGAAGAGAGGGGATGCGGGAAGAGGGGGGATGCGGGAAGAGGGGGGATGGGGAAGAGGGGGGATGGGGGAAGAGGGGGGATGCGGGAAGAGGGGGGATGCGGGAAGACGTAGAGATGATGCGGACAATGAGAGACGAGAACTGTAGATTGCAAGTTGTAAAAAGAAAGAAAAAGAGAGAGAGGGAGCACGTGAGGGAAGAGAAGAGCGGGGAGGGTGACAGGCAGCAACGGAGAGAAACACAAGGAGGGAAGGTACGGTGCAGGCGAGGGTGGTACAAGGAGTACAGTGAGAGGTTGAAGGGGGAAAAGGGAGAGGAGTTTGTTTGGGGCGGCAGGAAAGAAGAGCAGGTGTGAGAAGGGCAAATAATTGAAATGCAGTGAACACATGCCCTTTCCATCCGTCCCTTCACCACGGCCCTCACCACGGCCCTCACCACGGCCCTACTGCTCACACGCATCTGCCCAGCGCTCATACGCCCACCGCATCCATCACGGTGCCCCGCTCCCCATCCCCAGCCCCCAGCATTTGCTCTCCACACCCCCCACCCTCCCCCTCCCCACCACCACGTGAGCACGCCCCATCCTCCCCTCTCACTCACCGAGTGAGCAGCTCCCTCAGCTGCCCCTCGTACAAGGCGTTGTACGCCGCACTGCCCTCCTCATACGCCCGCGCGTTGCGGTCCCACGGCGACAGATACAACCCAGCCCCACTCCCACCGCCCGCCGCCCGCCGCCGCCGCCGCCACGTCAGCAACGACGTCACCTTGACCGGCCTTCCAGGGCGAGCGGCGCACAGAGTGGTTGGTGAGCGCCGAGGGCCACAGGCAGAAGCCGTCGTGGTGCTTGGCTGTCAGCACCACCAGCTGGGAGATGGGGTGAGGAGCGAAAGGCGAGAGGGGAGAGAGGCGCATGAAGGGTGAGACGGTTGAGGAGCAGCACCAGAATTGGTGAAAGCGGGGAGGGGCTTGTGAAGCTTGGGTGGGCTCACAAGAAGTGTGGGGGTTGTGGGTATGTGTGGGGCAACCATAAACTGGCAGGTGTGGGATACAGACATAAGGTATGCAGCAGGGGACACACGACGTGGGGCAGGTGTTTGTTTGAACCACCTTCCCAGCACTAACAGCAGCAACAGCAGCAGCACGCCTGCAAGCGTCGCGCGGGCTCCACAGCGCGACCTCTCCACGCTCGCCTCCTCTGCCGCGTGATCCCACCGCCCACAGCTCCAGCGACAGCCGCTCACGAACCCCCCCCCCCCCCCCTCTCCCTCCACCTCGCACGCTCTCCCCTCGCACGCTCTCCCATCGCGCGCTCTCCCCCTCGCGCTCTCCCATCGCGCGCTCTCCCCTCGCGCGCTCCCCTCTTGCGCTTCCCCCTCCTTCGCGCGTTCCCCCCTCGCCGCCATCACCTGCGTCACTCGGCCGCCCCCACCACCGTTACGAGAGACGCAGGGAGAGGACGGTCTCTCCCAGCGCGCACGGCTACGAGAGAGCGGGGCGCACCTCAAGGCCCAGCGCGTTGCGCGCACCTGGAAGCCGGCGGCCTTGACGGTGTCGACCCACTGCGACGCGTTGAGCGCCGCCGGGTTGAACAGCCGCGGGTCCTCGCCCCCGTGCCCCACTCGCGGTCCGTGAACGTGTTCATGCCCACGTGGAAGAACGCCGCCAGCTCAGCACGCTGACGTGTCAGCTGGCGCGCCGTGGGGATGGGAAGCAGCGGCGGGGGCGGAGGAAGGGGAGAGGAGAAGCACGCGGAGAGAGCGGGGAGGGCGAGGGACAGGGAGGAAAGGAGTGAGGCGAGTGGGGGAGGAGGGCTAACGCACGCGAGCGCGGGGAGGAGGAGGAGCAGCGGAGCGGCAAGAAGAAGAGAGAGCGCGCGTGGGCGGTGGCGAGGATGGGGGGGGAAATCGCCCATGCCGGCGCGTGTGGCGTGCGCGACAGGGAACGGCAATGGCGGAACTAGAAGGGATGATAGGAATGGGAGGGGCAGCAGCACATTATCAAACGAATTTGCATGACAGATGTTCCCGACATTGGACACTCGAATACTCGGTGTCAGCTCTCACATTTACTTCTGTGACATTTTAGTGAACAGTACACTGGAAATTTGTGTCACAAGAACCACAATCAATTCACTTTTCCTTGCCTTGCCTCGCATCACTTCTTCAACGTGTACCAGTACGGTATTAGAGAATCAGAATATCATCACTTTCCATTCTCCTAATAACCTCCTCCCTCCTCTCCCCTGCAGCGCCACCCCCCTCAGGCCCCCCTTGGCCCTCCTTGCGGAAGACAAACACGCAGTAGAGGTAAGCAGCGTCCCACTCGTCCGCCGTCATCTCCTCGCGCCACCGCTCGCCCGCAATGCGGCGCAGCAGCGACGCGTGCGGCTCGACGGCGGCGTGCGTCTTGATGAAGGTGTGGAAGTTGGCGTGGTAGAGTGCCTGCAGCCCGTACTCGCCCGCCAGGCGCTGCAGGAAGGCGAACGGCACGAGCCACTCGGGGCAGTCCACCGCGTCCTCCAGCCGGAACTCGTACCGGATGCCGTACGGCCGGGTTGACGGGAACTTCTTGTCTGCGAACTCCGGGGCGAATTCTATCGAGTAGACGGAGTTGCCGAACCTGAGGTTCGGCGAGGCTCGTAATTTCTGCACGAGCACGTTGGCGTCGGGGATGGTGCCGATGAACATGCCGCCCGCCGGCCGCAGCAGCGCCGCGATGTTGCGCAGCCCGCAGCGAGCGCGCTGCTCGGTCTCGAAGGAGTAGTGCAGCGCGAACTGCGTGGAGCAGATGTCAAAGGGCGCCCACGGCAGCAGCTCGCGGTCCAGCGCCACGCCGAAGCAGTCCGCACACGCCAGCTTCGCCGGGAACCGCATCTGCCGCCGGTCGCTGTCCGCCCCGTCTCCCCCGGCGAAGGAGCGGTGCGAGTCGCCGTTGTAGCGCGCCATGGCGTCGTGCACGGAGCCCTCCGCCACGTCCACTCCGAGGTAGAAGCCCACGTTGACGCGCGCCCACTTGGTCAGGTCGCCGCCCTTGCCGCACGCCAGGTCCAGCACGCGCGCGCCACGGGCGGGGTGGGTGGGAGGCGGATGAGCACGGACTTGATCCAGTTGTTGAGCTTCTTCAGGTGGATGATGGGACTCGCCTCGCGCTCGTGCCGCTGCTGGTTGTCGCGCCGGCTGTAGTGGTCCGCCACCACGCGCACCAGCAGCCCCTCCCCTCCGCCCCGCCTGCCCCGCCCTCACCTGCCCCCCCCACCTGTCCATCCGCTTCGCCGGCCGCTCATCCCCCTCTGCTGCCTCGCCCGCGCCTCGCTCCTTCCGCTTCACGCCACTCGCATGCTCCTGCTCCCCCCCCCGTTTACTTGCCACTCCTCTCCGCTTCTGTCACTCCCCCCGACCCGCCTCCCTCGCCGTCGCTGGACTCGCTATAGTCACTCCCATCGTCCTCGTCAAAGTCCAGGGTCACGCCCAGCCCCGTCCCCCATCCGCCATCCCCCCTGCTCGCCGCCCTCGCGCGCATCACCCTGCGGGTCTCGTCCCGTCGACTCCTCGACACCGCTGCCCTTCACATCCCCGTCTAGCCCTTCCCCGTCATACCCGCCTTCCTTCTCCTCCTCTCTCTCCCCATTGCCTTCCCTCCTCTCGTCCCCAGCGCCTCGATCTTCACTCTCCGCGTCGCTGTGCGATGATCGCGACGACGCCGACGACCTAGACGACTGCGACGACAACGATCGCGACGACCGCGACGGCGATTGCGACTGCGAGTCGTCGCGACTGGGGGAGTCGCGGCGGTCCGTGCCGGCCGGAGACGCGGCTTCAGCGGAGTCGTTGCCGATCGCCTCCGCGGCGCCGTTGGCGGCGTGGCGGGCGGGCTCCTCCCAGTCGTCGGCGTCGCTGCCATCCTCCATGCTCGTGCTGGAGTGAGTATGCGTGGAGGGGTCGTGCTGCTGCCTTGGCGGCCAAGGTGGGGCCCACCTCTGCTGTTGCCGGCCATGCGTCGTGGGAGGGGGAAGAGGGAGATGGGAAGAGGGGGGAGATGGGCAAAGGAGAGGCGGGGAAGATGGGAGGTGAGAATGTGAAGGGGTCGCGCTGCTGCCTGTGCGCGCTGCTGCCTGTGCGCGCTGCTGCCTGTGCGCGCTGCTGCCTGTGCGCGCTGCTGCCTTGGCCGCCAGCCAGCCATCCTGCAAGGGGGGGAGGGAGTGTGAGAGGATGGGGGGAGAGAGGAAACGGGGAGAGGGGAGGAGAGGAGTGCACAGAGGGGGAGAACGGCATGAGAGGGGCCACACCACTGCCAGGGTGCGTGGTGCTGCCGTGCTAACAAGCACCAGAATTTCCGGCGCGCAGAGGGAGAGGGAAGAGAGGCAGATGAAAGCGTTTGAAACGCATCCCTTGCCCCCATCACGTCTTCCTTCCTTGCTGTGGCGGCCTCACTGTCTTGGCCTCACTGTCTTGGCCCTCATTTGCACCCACAACCACACACCTCCCTTCTCACCGTCACCTCTTCCTCCCTGCACTCACCGTGGCCTCTCTTCCCTCCCTGCACTCACCGTGGCCTCGGTGTCCTCTCTGTATTCCACATAGTTGCCCTCGGCATCAAAGTACCCCTCCTCGCGCTCCTGCTGCAGGTTGAACGGCTCCATTGCCTCCTGCTCCTCCTCTCTCGCCCTGTCACCATGCCATGAGCCCATGCGCCCATGCCATCACACCACCCAGCACACAGCACAGCGCAGCACACAGCACAGCGCAGCACACAGCACAGCGCAGCACACAGCACAGCACAGCACAGCACAGCACAGCACGGCACGGCACGGCACGGCAGGGCATGCCAAGCAGGGCAGAGCAGGAGAGGAAAGAATGCGGGTGAGGGTCAACCAGCTTGGAGCACGGCACTCCTTCCTCCCCACTGCCAATACTCCCCCCTCCCCACCGCCAGCACTGCCAGCACCGCTTGCCCAGTGAACCGTTTCTGAGACGCATTCACCCCAACCGGCCCTACCATGAGGCTCACGGCACTCAACACCCCTGTGATTCACTTAGCCCCCTTCCCTCACCTGTCCAGTGTGATCACCATCCCAATCGCCCCCACCCACACACATATCTATTCCCTCCTCGCTTCCCCCACCTTCCCTTTCCCCCCCGCCCCCCCCTCCTTCTGTCCGTGCCCTCTCTTTCTGCTCCCCTGCTCCCTCCCTATCCTTGTTCCCCTCCCCTCCACTCCCCTCCCCTCCTATCCCCTCCCCTCTCCTCACTCCCCTTTCTCCTTCCCCCCTACCCCCCCCCCCCCCCGTCCCCTCCCCTCGCCCGCACCTGGAAGTCCTCCTCGGCGCGCGCCACGTCCTCCACGCCCCCGAAAGCAGTGTCTCCCCACTTGCTCTTCCCCTTCTTCCGCTGCTGCGCGCGCGCCTGCGCCGCCACGCGCGGATCCGCGGAGCCCATCAGCGCCGCCGCGCCGGCTCCGCGCCGAGGTCGTCGAGGACCATCGCGCTGACGTCAGCGGCGGCTGTTAGGGTTGGTTCGCCCAACCACGGAACCTACGGCGCGATTCGGTGCGACGGCGAAACGGTGGAATCAGCCTACGGCGAAGACTAGAAGCTACGGCGTGAGAAGCGGGAGAGAGAAATCGGGAAGAAACGAGAGAAATGGAGGAAGAAGAGTGGAGAAGTATCAAGAATGAGAATCGACGGGGGAAAATGTGGTTCGAGACCAAGGCGCATTCGAGAAGGTTCAAGATTCGAACTGAAGGAGTGTTTGGTGCATTCGGTTCGGTTTCCGCGTGCGACTCGCGGTGAAACGAGGCGCGCGCGAGATTGCTTGGGAAAGAAGTTACGTTACGAATCGCATTTTGTACCTTGGTTGACTATAAAACTGCTGTACTCATTCTGGAAATCATAACATTGACAACATTGAAACAAACCACATTCCTTTTAATTGGACCAGACTTCAACTTCAAGCAGAGCTGCGCATATCATTGGATTCGTGAGATCGTGGAGAACACGATAAGCAATAGCAAGTAGACTAGTGCTGACTAAGGCGTTTACGATCCTAAGAGTGGCGGGCGCGCCCTTCCTTCTTCGGCTTCTTCTCCGGCAGCACCTCGCGCCGTAGCCTGGCGCCCGCACCGCATGGGCGGGGCGGGGGATGGAGGAAAAAGAGGAGGGGTCAAGGGGGGAAAGGCGGGGTGGCGGGGAGTGGTGACGATTGCGTCGCAGGCGAACGGAAGTGTCGCATGGACAAGAGCGACAATAAATCGCGCGGAAGCTTCGCGAGGAGGGGGGAGCGGACGGGGAAGGGCGCGCACTTGGCGGCATCGTCATCATCGTCGTCGTCGTTCCCCGAGAAGCGCACTTCCTTCTTTTGCTGCGCCTCCTTGCGCTCGTCGCCCCTGCCCGTCCCCGCCGCCATCTGCTCCATTTCGCTCTCGCCAGACATTGGCCCCTTCAATATGGGTGCATTCTGCAGCCGCAAGTTCAGATTCGATAAAGTGCAGTTTAGATTCCCTTATCGAGAGAATGAAGGTTGTGTGTGACGAACGGGGAGCAACGCTTCCTTCGAGCTAAATGTTCGCATTACAGGATCAACTTCGTGATCGTTAAGTTGAAGTCTCGAATAGCAGAATCTGGTGTTTCACAGCAAAAATTAGATTGCATTTCGCTATATACATACATACAACTTCAAATGATGTGGAAAAATTCACAGCATACAGCTGAGCTCATACCACAAGTACAACGCACAAGCGTTGAGTGGGCGACTTACCTATTGCAGTTTGCTCCTCCATGTGCAATCCCACATGACAGTAGCACTAGGGCTCCCATGACAGACCTGTGTTGAGTCCAGTCCAGTCCACACAAGGCAGATCAAACAGCCCAAGCCATAAAGTGTCATATAGACCTCACGCATCATACTGCACTCGGGTCGCCACTCCTGTAGAGTGCAACGTAGGAGAGCAGCGGGGCAGCCCGCGCATCGTGAATTACCACCCTCACATGCCGCGCTTTCACTGCCTCCACCCGAAACAGCCTCTTGCGCCCCACTGTGCTGCCACTCGCTATCACTCTCCACTCGCCCGCTCTCCCCGCCCCTCCCCGTGCACTCAGCATGCAGCGCACTGCCCCCTGGGCGCCATGCGGTGTGTGAGCCGCGTGCACACTCCCGCCTGGCACACCAGGCAGGGGGGGCACCATCCCTGCCATTGCACCCGCCTGACCCACACCCGCCAGCACCAGCAGCACTGACTTGGGCCGAAGCGGCGGCTGGAGTGGCGGCGGGTGCAGCAGCAGTGTCCGGGTCGAGCACTTCCACTCTGAACGACTTTATCCGCTGCCCGTACGCCACAGGCTCTTCCAGACGCACCACGTGGAAAGTTTTCACCTGCCCGAGGTCGAAGTGGAGAGCAGCCGACAGCACCCCATCCTGAGCCGCCCAAAAGCTGCCATCCCCCTCCCTTAGCACGTTCTCAGGCCCGTGTCAAATGATATATGTATTATATATGTGTAGGCTGTAGTGGGGTAGCCAATATGGGGTACAACCCCATTAGGGTTTCATACTTGTACCAAACTTCCTGCTAGTTGATTCATTCCTGTCTCTAGTTTCTGACATGGTATCAGAGCGAAGAGTGCATGCCACGAAGGCGAAGCAAGGAGGGGTGACTGCTACTTGTGTGTGCCGCGTGACCCAGGTATAGACCCAGGTATATCGCCTGCAACTCTAGGTGCTAGTGCGTCTGCTCTCTCTGGGTGCTGCGTCTGGGGGTACTAAGCCTAAGAGTACTGAGTCTGGGGGTGCGGCGCCTGAGGGTACTGAGACTGCTGGTGCGCGGTCTCCTTGGAGTGGCCGCCTTCGTCCGCGTGCGCCTCTCTCCCCACAGCAGCTGCACGAGTGGTACACTCGCCGTCAGGGTCGCGCTGCTGGTGGAGGTGGTTCTACTGTCGTCGCTGGAGCTGGGAGAGGTACTGGTTCCCTGTCTACAGGAGGTGCTGGTGTAGCTGCTCTCCCGAAGGTGCTCTAACTGGAGGTACTGGAGCTGCTGGGGCTGGAGGTGCTGCGTCTGGGGGTGCTGCTGCTGGAGACACTGGGACTGGAGGTGCCGGTTCTGGGGGTGCTGCTGCTGGAGACACTGAGACTGGAGACCTAGGGACTGGTGGTGTTGGTTCTGGGGGTGGCTACTGGTGGCGCTAGTCCTGGAGGTGCTGGCGCTGGAGGTGCTGGAGCTGCTGGCGGTGCTGAAGCTCCTGGCGGTGCTAGAGCTGCTGGTGGTGTTGGTGCTACTGGCTGGTGCTAGAGCTACTGGAGGTACTGGAGCTGCTGGAGGTGCTGGAGCTGCTGGAGGTACTGGAGCTGCTAGTGTTGGTGGCACTACGGAGCCACGATTGTTCTTCGCTCCGCCATCTCTGTCGTCTCTACCACCGTCTAACACTGTACTTCGTCAGGTTCTTACACTCCCGTTGTCTACTGGTCTTCCGTTACAGCCTGGCTCCTAGCTGCCTGCTCCTTCTCCTTACACTGAGCAGCCTGGTAGTCGTGTTGCGCGTCGTGAGCCTGCGTCGCGTCCTGTCTCGCCTGTTCGTGCTGTTCGCACTGGTCGTACTGGTCGTCGTGTTCCTCGTCAGCGTCCACCGGCTTTCCCCGGCACACACCACATGATTCTGTCGTCCTTCCTCTGCTCCGCAGCGTGTTCCTCTGCCGTCTCCTCCTACGTCTTCTCTGCCTGACGTTCCGGACCCTGAGTCTGACCATTTCGTGCCGCACACCCAACTGTCACGCGTCTGTTAGCCACGGTTGTCACTGACCCGTCGTCTGATTCTGCTGCTGCGTCTGCCTTAGTCGCTGAGCTTGTTGACTTTGCTGCTGCCTATCGTCTAGACTACGCCGCTAGTCTTGTTGCTGAGTCTGAGTGTGTCTGTCCTCCGTCCGTCGGGGGTGACTGTGATCTTGGCACGGACGTCCTTGAGGACAGGCACGAGGACCTTGAGTGTCTTGCAGCCGCTGCGCCTCATCTCGTGGCCATGCTGCTTGCCCCTGAGGGAGACCCGGATGCACCAGACATCCCGACCCCGCGCTCTTACGCTGAGGCGATCGCGGGTGAGTACTCCTCTCAGTGGCAGACAGCCATGGACGCAGAGATGGCATCCTGGAAGTCCACAGTCACTTACGTCGACGAGGTTCCTCCTCCTGGGGCGAACATCGTCGATGGCATGTGGATTTTCAGGGTGAAGCGGCCGTCGGGTTCTCCGCCTGTCTTCAAGGCTCGTTATGTTGCTAGAGGCTTCAGTCAGCGTGAGGGAGTTGACTTCTTCCAGACCTTCTCCCCTACCCCGAAGATGACCACTCTTCGGGTGCTGCTGCACGTTGCCGCTCAGCGTGACTACGAGCTTCACTCTCTTGACTTCAGCACAACCTTCTTACAGGGCAGCCTGCACGAGGAGATCTGGTTGCGCCGCCCACCTGGCTTCACTGGGTCGTTCCCTCCTGGCACCCAGTGGAGCCTCCAGCGGCCAGTCTACGGTCTCCGCCAGGCGCCTCGTGAGTGGCACGACACACTGAGGATGACACTTGCGGCTCTTGGGTTTGCTCCTTCGACTGCAGACCCGTCGCTGTTTCTGCGCACCGACACTTCGCTGCTGCCGTTCTACATCCTCGTGTACGTCGACGACTTGGTCTTTGCCACTGCTGACACTGAGGCTCTCGCCCTAGTGAAGTCGGAGCTGCAGAAGAGACACACGTGCGCAGTTACCTTGGCTTGCAGATCACCCGGGACCGAGCACGCCGCACCATCACACTGACTTAGTCACACATGGTGCAGCAGGTCCTTCGGCGCTTCGGCTTCACCTGGTCCTCCGCACAGTCCACTCCTCTTGCTACAGGTCATTCGCTCTCAGCTCCACCTTCGGACGAGTCCGTAGAGTCGAGTGGTCCTTACGTAGAGCTAGTGGGCTGCCCCACGGCACCCCCCTTAAACCCTAAACCCTCGGCTCCCACACACCCACCCCCCTCAGCGGCAGCTGCAGCAGAAGAAGAGGCGAAGTGAGGAGGAGGAGTGACTGTGAGAGGAGAAGAGATGGGAGGCGACTGCTGAAGTTGCAAACACAAACCGGCCACAGGAGCGGCTGGCTCAGTTGCTACCGGAGCAAGGGCCCCGGACTACAGGAGTAACAGGCTCAGACAGGAGCAACGGACCCACGGGCGACAGGCGCAGCAGGCTCTCTGGGCTACCAGCGGCAAGGGCCCCGGACTACAGGCGCTGCGGACGACAAGACTGCTACCTCCACTCAAACTCCCCCAACTGTTCCACCCCCTTTCACACACCCCCTGCTGAAACCCTAGCTCCACTCCCACGGCACCCCCCTTAAACCCTAAACCCTCGGCTCCCACACATCCACCCCCCCTCAGCGGCAGCTGCAGCAGTGGGAGACGAAGGAGGAGGAGGAGCTGCAGGTTAC